TTTTTAAACTCAGGACAAAATTTTGAATCTATTTAGCAGTTTTTTTCATTCGCTTTTGTAGATGAGTAAAAGATTTTTTCAATTTTTCATTATTTTTTTTAAATTAAATTACATGAGATTATATAAATAATGGTATGTAAAGAAAGCCCCTTTTGTCCAGAAAAAAACAATATATAATTTGTAAGGGAACAGTAAATGAGAGAGCGGAAAATTACAGCTAAACACAAACACCACAAAAGTGTAAAAAGAGGCCTGGTCGCAAATGTACAACATCGCAAAAACAGTCCGGTCCTTAAGGGGTTAATGATGAATTAACAGGTATGTTTCCCTTGTACAACATGAATGTATTCAAAGTGAACCATGCTACAAACAAATTCATTAAATAGCGCAATGATTATCTCAACAACTACAATTTTCTCTTGTTTAAATATGTACAATACAGACATAATACACTCTGGGGTGTTATGATGAAAAATCTTGCTCCATGTATTTAATAACTGGACATTATATAATGCAGACTGACTTCAATGTTAATACGTTCCAGACCAGAACTATGAAAATACATTGTTACTGTGTACACACTGCCCACTCTCCTGGTATTAAAAATACTGACCGGACAATTTAGTATTAGTTCCATATATTGTTACTAAAGTGTGCGAATGGTGATTGGTTTGTTTCTTCTATGATTGATGGAATTTAGATTTACTTTGTTGTGGTTACCAATAGTCAACATTTTGTTGTATTTGTAGTAGCCTGTATTGCTGAACGGATACTCCCCTTCCCTTTTCCAGTTCTTAAGGACCTATAGTATATTCTGGCCATCACAATCTTACACGTGCAGACTGCGTGCTAATACGGAAAGCTTTAGTAAACCCCAGCTGATAAGACATTTCATGTCAATTCACGTCACCAGTACTGAAGATCTCCTGGTGAGTGATGAACTGCGGCAAGGGACCAACTCAGCGCTGGATTAGATGTAAGTTAACCCTTTATTGAACAGATTTGGTGGTGGTACAAGGGCCCAAGAGACTAACCAACACCCAGCATTATAAATAAAAGTATTTAATTATAACACTGCAGTATCCCTTTAATCTGAGCTCACAGCAGTGGGTGAGAACAAAAAGATCGATGATTGTTTAAACTGAATTGTTATTGAAAATATATCAGATAAGCGGTTCTGTTAAAATTTAGATATCTGGCAACTAATAGAAGACAGAAGCTCTGTGCCAAACTGTTTTGCAACTAAAGACTTTTATCCTTCAAATAGTAGGATAAAAGATGAAACTGATAGACATGTGCAATTCGTTTCGGGCCGAATATGTATTCGGACGAATTTTGGGCAATTCGGACATTCGGGTACTTCCGAATGTTCGAATAGCCGAATGCCCGAGGTCCCGAAGTTCCGAAATGACCGAATTTCCGAAGTGTCGAAGTGCCAAAGTGCTAAAGTCCCCCGCTCAGGGTTGGGGGCCGGGGGGGGAGGACATTATGGTCCCCCCTAATTAGTATTTAGGGCCGCCACCCACCGCACAGGCTACTCACTGTTTGATAGGAATGCCCCTACTCGCGGTATAGCGAGTAGGGGCAAAATTGACTAATACCAAGTAATTTTTGCTTAGTATTAGTAAATTCAGCTGAAAGACCAATTTAGGTCTTTCAGCCTTTTGGTTGATAACTCCCTAATACCGTGGGAATTAGGGAGTTATCTACCCAGCGGCTGCAAGAGAAGTTCCAAAGTTGCCGAATTTCGGAATGCCGAACCGAACATTTTTCCCATGCACATGCCTAGAAACTGAATGTATTTCTGATACTGATTATTAAACAAAGGTTCTCACAAACGTATCTTAAAGCTCTCCAGCTGTCACAACTCACACTTTTGCTTTTTATTACGATCTCCATCTTTCTCGTTGTGGTTTGTAGCCTTTATGTTTTGTTGGTATTCTGTTGAGGTTCAACTAGGGAAGTGTTTTCTTTAAGGCAGTTATTTGCCAGAGGACTCATTTAGAGATTCCATAATTCTGGTCCATTAGGTACATTTATATAAAATTAAGGAGATTTTCAAGGAGATTGGTTTTCCACCAGTTCTTTCCCAACAAACAGCAGAGTAATCACAGCTCACCCGCGTTTGTCTAAGTGCTCCAACCTGGCGTTCTCTCACTCTGCTCCATACTAGGTACATATTCAAATTTAAAAGGATATGGCAGGCACAACTGGAGGCAATGAATGAGAAAAAGGTGCTATAGCAAGCCATACTTAATACAGTATCAAAAAAGTGTTAATCCAAGGTTTTGATACTACTTTTTCTCACTCATTGATTCCAGTTGTGCCTGCCATATCCTTTTAACTTGAAGTGATACAAACTGGACAACTGATGACACCAGCAACCTGGTTTAAGAAGAATTGCCTTTTGGTGGCACCAGGTGGTTCCAGGTGTCCCCAGGAACCATTAACAGGCTAGAATTTGAGGATGTACATACTAATACTAATGTTTAGGTGTCTCAATAAATGACTGAGACAATGGTCACTAAGATGTTTTACATCAGGGACATCATGCGACTATGATCTTTTGACAGGTACATAGTTGTGAAATGCAGCATAGCGGATTCAGATAGTTTCTAATAACCTATATACAGCAATGTCTTTTTTAAGGAAAATATAAATTCATCAACCATGTGCCTGGACACTGAAGTTTATTAAAGATGAGCGGGATCAAGTGTCATAGGCTATCTCTGTAATGGCACAAGTGAGCAAAAACTATTCTAAAGACCTGAGCGGGAATTTACCAAACAGCAAGCTAATGAGTTTCTCTAATATTTTTCTCATTCTCAGAGTTCTCATATTCTCTGTTTTTACTAAAGATGAGTGCTGGAATATATATAGATATTTCCAATATATCACAGCACTCACCCTTAAAGGAACACTATAGTCACCTAAATTACTATAGCTAAATAAAGCAGTTTTAGTGTATAGATCATTCCCCTGCAATTTCACTGCTCAATTCACTGTCATTTAGGAGTTAAATTCCTTTGTTTCTGTTTATGCAGCCCTAGCCACACCTCCCCTGGCTATGATTGACAGAGCCTGCGTGAAAAAAAAAAAACTGGTTTCACTTTCAAACAGATGTAATTTACCTTAAATAATTGTAACTCAACCTCTAAATTGAACTTTAAATCACATACAGGAGGCTCTTGCGGGGTCTAGCAAGCTATTAACATAGCAGGGGATAAGAAAATCTTAATTAAACAGAACTTGCAATTAAGAAAGCCTAAATAGGGCTCTCTTTACAGGAAGTGATTATGGAAGGCTGTGCAAGTCACATGCAGGGAGGTGTGACTAAGGTTCATAAAAAAAGGGATTTAACTCCTAAATGGCAGAGGATTGAGCAGTGAGGCTGCATGGGGCATGTTCTATACACCAAATCTGCTTCATTAAGCTAAAGTTGTTCAGGTGATTATAGTGTCCCTTTAAATTTTTGGTGCCTCTGTGCTACCAGCGTATAAAATATATAAGTAAAAAATGGAGAGGTACACTCACAGGTCTTCTTCCAAACGTGAAATTTATTTAATCATTTCAAAGTTGTCCCAACGTTTCGACCCCTAAGGGTCTTTCTCAAGGTATACACACACACACAAACAAAACTGACGAGGTGAAGAAAACCAAATTAAGGAGATTGGAATTAAACCAAAATAATGCAAGAGGCACAAATGCAGTGAAATAATTAGCAAAGTTTAGTAAAAAATAAAAACCGCATTTACACTCTGTCTAACCTTACAAGTCGTGAATGAGAGTGCTATTTAGAGTCTGTAGCAAAGAGTATGGACTGAGAAAAAAAGTAGACAAAAGCTCAGTGTTCTTGTTTTTGCGTGCAAAATATTATTTAGATGAATAAGATGTTTTTTTTCTTGTTGTGAAACATCCATCAAAAGTGTAAGATTCTTCAATGTACTTTTATAAGAGTTCTCACAAATATGACCCAGAATGGTCATAAGAAACACTTTTCAGAAGCAAAATGAATCAAAGAATGCGTAAAGCCCAACACAATATCCTGCCGCAAGGATCATTTGACAGAGTACATATTTCTTATATAAACGCTCACAGTAAGTTTGCCAAGGCTTACAAATCATTGTCACAGGTTCTGTATCACTTCCATACACTTTGTAGCATTTTATTGCTCTGTTTGCCAGAGAAGTCCTTGTGCCCAACGAGAGTGCCATTTCATAAAACAGGCTCAGTGGCCAACAAGCGTGCCATAAGCCAAGTTAGCCGGCAAGTGTGCCCTAGGAATCAGATCTCACATTGTGTAATAGGAACAGTGCTACATTGGCAAAATAAACCAGATTAAGACAACTTTCACCAAAAGTAGCAGAAAATATGTCTATGGATTTGAACAGTTGTGTTGCGGATTCTGCATCACAAATGCCCGACTCCCCATTATAAACTCTAATGCCACTCCACCTATTGTCACCGGATCTACCTCTTAAATTATGGCAATCAGTAGGTGTGGCGGAACCAACCTCGCCACTATGCACTGGAGAAGCCTGGTTGCCAGCCTCCTGCCATGTGACTATGGCCCCTGGGATGTATTGCCCTTTAAAGACATGATTTGGGCATAATAGATTTGTGTTGTGCTGCTGCTGGCCCTTTTAAGAACCATCTGGGGACATACTGTGGAGTTACTGGGTGGCCACCATTTCCTGTATCAGAAGCACATGGTGAGAACAATGGATGGCGGCCATTTTAACTCACAGACACTGTTTGGACTTTTCAACACGGTGCCATCTCGCCAGTATTTGTTGCACAGAGACATCGTGCGGTGGTTTTGGACTATACAGCAGGGGACACATTATACAGTGATTGTTTTTTATTTAGCCTGTATATGTTCTGCAGAATCTGCATTAAACTGTATTTTCCAAAGTACTGAACGGATCTGGGTGAATTTTGGATATGTGGTTCACCCAGATCCCCCAGTTCCAAGGATATACTTTTTTATGGGGTTATTGCATGTTTTGGGGTTCCTGTGATGTGTTTTATGAAACTGTATTTCTCTGGCTGTGATAATTAGATTACCCATTGTGTTCAGTAATCATATCACAGCCAGAGGGGAGGATTTTGTGTGGGAGTGTCTGGGTGTATTGTATGGATTAATTGGCTGTTTTGTAACGCCCTGTGGGCTGTACTATGTTTGTGATTGGGAATAAAAGAGACTGTATGTGACAGTACAGGGAGTTCCTGTTTTAACCCTCAAAGGGAAGTGTCATCTCATTATTGGGGGAAGGATTTATTGTATGCTGTTCCAGTTTGACTGCTAGGAGAGTAAACCTATTCGTATGGTTCCTATTCAACTGTCTACAGCATTCATATGCTTGAGAAGATTCATATGCTTCTCCGGTTCGGTGGTTGTGGTGTCTGCTGCAGTGCTTGGAGTCCTCAGGAAGCGCTAGGAGCATCCTTTAACGGAGGTACCCAGTCGGGGTGCCAGGCGATCCGTTACAGTAGGTATTACCACGGTTGCACAACTCTTACAAGGAGAATCCATTGCATCTTTTCATGACCTTTTGCAGTTCGACTTACCTCCCAGAGTTAGATTTTCTTTTCTACGCTTAAAAACATACCCTACAATCACATAAAATCCAACCTCCTATAAACGCAAATAAATCTCCATTTCATAACATATGCTCAGGATCCAAATGGACTGTTTAGTCCCTCCTTCTCTGTTATGCAAAAATGTTAGGACAACTTCCGGAGCTGCATACAACAATGGGAAAATGGAACTCCAAGAACTTCACTCAAGGTGACTGGCTGTAAACTGACACAAATATGACATGAGCTTGGGAAAGGTATATCTGTATTTTTGTAAACCTATATATGCTCAATAATAATAATACCTTGGGGAAAAAAGATAAAGATTTAAATTCTGAAACCTGCTCTAAAAAGTAGACATATGTTATAAAGTGGAGATGTGCTCCTGACTCTTTGTATTGGTGCAGTGAGTATAATGAAATATAAATGAAGTTATATTTGTAGTCTGTCTGAGGTTCCTTAGGGATGTTGGCTTGATTCCTGACACCTGTTGTAATATTACTATCTCTGCTACCAGTGGGACCAATAAAAGTGTTGCAATTCATCTGTCTCTTAAGATTCCAATGTTTAACAGATATTTCTACAAAGACAACGATGAATCCTACAGATATAGCTATACATGGTGTAGTTAATTAGCCAGACCTACTGTCCATCATTTTTACTTCAAAATAATGAAATTCAAAAGAGATTTAACCTAACCCAAACAGATGGACAATAAGTAGGTCTGCGTCAATCAGTTATGTCAACAACATATGGAGAATATCTTTGCGTGTAAAGGTTTTCAAAACCCACTCAGAAGAAACAAATTGGTGCTGTTTTCAAACCTTAAAAACAGATTTCAGTTTGAACACTTAAACTCTTGATATTCAGTGGTCAGAAGGGTGGTCTTATTTAGACTTATTACTTTCAAGCACTCCTGTCTCCCTCCACAACTCGACCTAGAAAGGACAGATCTCATCTATCTACTGCATTTTATTAAGCCATCAATCTCACTGCTCTTTGCCATACGTAATTGTTGTTGTCATTATTATTATCATTATTATTGTTTTTGAGGTTTCTCATAGGCACCATACATGTGTATTTAATACAATCAATTTGATTTGTTTTTACTGGTTCTGCTCTGCATTCTATATTCAATTCATAAGAAACAAGCCTTTAAAATGCCATTTCAATAGTAGCTTACCCCCTTGTGATTTACTAAAATGATCACGCTATTGGATATATTCTAGAATACTGTGGATACAGAAGTACCTTCTTGCATACCTGGTGGACATCTACTAAACTCACTTTCTTTCAGAGCACAAAAGAAAATGGTCAATCATATCTCACAATGGAAGTAAACAATAGCCAATGGACCCATTGGCAACTGATGACTTTACTAGAACATAAAATAAACTAGTGTAAACACAAATAGGTGTGGTAGTAGTTGGCGCTTATAGGAAATCATACAGTGATAGTAATTTAATTTTTAGCTGCTGTAAACACTCTGTGGGTACTCCCAATATCCCACCATAAAGTAAAAGACATCAAAGAAACATAACTAGAGGTCTGATTGATGTTTCCACCTTCCAAGCCTCTAATTGGAGTGCAGCGCTATACAAATCTATACAGGATAGGTATTTGAGTACATATACATGTAACTTACCCCTCTTAATGCTATTGAGAGGATTCATATGCTATTAAGAGGGGTAAGTTACATGTATATGTACTCAAATACCTATCCTGTATAGATTTGTATAGCTCTGCACTCGAATTAGAGGCGTGGAAGGTGGAAACATCAACCAGACCTCTAGTTATCTGTTTCTTTGATAAAATAAACTAGCCATAATTATTTCTCTCTAAGGCCAGTAAACCTTCGAAAACAACCTGCATACACTACATACATTCAATTCAGAAGGCCACCAAAGCCATCACTGTATTAGTCAATATATAAACCAAATCTTTTTACAAGGTCCAAGATCTTTTCTGATCCCTCTTTTTCTCTCTCACTCCGACTTGTCCTTTTTCCTTGCAACCTCTTTTGCATACATCCATCAGTTTCCAGTGTCTTTCACTTCATATTTATACACGGACATCAACTTATCTCCAGTCACTTTCACGTACTTTTCTCAATCACCCCATTTTTCTGCCAATACCGGAGGAAAGAAAATCAACCTTCGGTTATCGACCTCCTGCTGTCCCCTCCTTCATCACACAATGCGAAGTGGCTTTGTCTCATTTTTCATTTGCCGACACTGTAACATTGTATAACTGTTCAGCTTTATTTTATATAACGTGACTGTTGTTTTTCAATTACACTGTCGTTAACTGATACCTCTGGAGAGCTAAACTAAATTGCAACAAAATATCAGTTTATTTTAATTTACATGAAAATATTTAACTTTTATACAGATTTTTATTACATTGCATATATTTTATTACTTAAATATTATTAGTAGGCTATCTAAAGCATTCTAACTCTGTAAATGCATTATGGTTGAATAGTCAAGGAATCCAAATTTCTAAGAAAACTCTTGTTCGCAGTCTCAGCAGTGGTGGATGTGCGGTTAAAGTATTAAATGTCATACATCATGTAGCAACCTTTAAATCAATGCTAGATTTATCTAGAGGTCTATTATTAGCGCCTCACTCGCCCGTTAACCCTGATAGTCTATTGCATTGTCAAAATGGAAGTTCAATTGAGAGGATGGCAGTAATTTGGTTAAATGTCTGTTTTCATTGAAGATACTTAATAAGTCGTCTTCTCTCATTAAAGATCATCATTATCATCTTGCATTATACTATTTGTAAGCACCACTGAGCCGCAACCATTCCCATCTGGTACTCAAGGCAAATGGCCAGCAATTTCATTCTTAGAGACGTATGTTTTTATCCACATAGAGATGTTTTAGTGATGGCTAACCTTTGCATATGTTTGTGAATTCAATCTCATATGATGCTTAACTGAGCCAAGGATGGGGATGCAGAATGATAACTACAAAGCAGCATCTCTTTGAAAATCAATGGCCTAGTTACAATCGAAACAAAATGGGCATGCTCTAACAGAGATTGTATGAAAAGCAATTTGTACATTTGGCACTCCTAGACATCATAGAAAATATCCACGACAAAGACTACAGGTGCTGACGTACATTCTTTCACTGTTTGAGAAGAGACATAGTGACAAGGTCACAAACAGACAAGACAGAACCTTTAGGGGAAACCTTGGATGTACACATGTTCCAACACAGTATTTACTTGTAAGGTCCCTTTACTATAGATTTAGCCCCTTCTTACGTCATTAATGCGCCACTCAATTATTATTTTTTAAACTATTATAGCTCAGTACCCAGTCTATTATCTTTCTGCTTGTCAATTTCTTTTTATCCAACTTGACTTCAACACAGGACTTAATGAACTTCAAACCAATGTTAAATTAGAAAACAGAAATGTGTTTGTCACTTCTATTAATTTAATGAGTCCATATAGCGATTTCTCTAATATCTGTGCATACCACCTCTTCTCTGTTGCCTGAGGGTTCTGGTTAACAAATCATTAAAACTGGTGACATATTAATAATTGCTGAAAACCCCAAAGGGCTTGTGATAAATTAATTGTTATAACGAGTATATTTTAATTATGAAAACATTTTGCGAAATACATTTTGGTCAGAGTGGCTTTTTAAATGAAAACGCAAGCTATTGGCCATTAACGTATAATTTAATTCTGCAAGGACATTGCTTTTCCCCATAAGTGCAAAAATACAGATTTGGTTAAGGGTCTTTAAGAGCAATAACTTGATGTATGACTTGAATGGATGTTTTAAATAGATAGCAAGAGGTGAAAGGTTTGTGGTTGTGTTGTCTTTTTAGAACTGGAATCAACAGCTTTTTAAGAGACTGAGCTGAAAGATGTAGCTCTCATTATGAATAAAATGGTCATATAAATGTGAATTTACAAGCTGATCCTAAATAAAACATTGCTGTTCTGAATTATTAGGTAGAAATTATTGTTATATTTATTACAGCAGAGATTCAAATTTAAAAAAATTGAAAATTTGGAGGAGTAAGCAGAAACAGCATATTTCTTCAATGGTAATCACTCAAAAAGCACTTTGCTTTGTCGTCACATTGAATTATTACTCACAGTTCAAAGAGATGATGTCATTTTTTAAATGATGGGGTTTAGAATGTATCAGTCTAGCGATGGATTTATATAGTGCATAAATAGGGCCAGTCCCCTTCTTCCCCTCACCCATCTCGGTGGAGATCTGTGACATCAGTTGTCAGACTGATGTCAGCTAAAAAGAAATTGATCATTATCAGATGACATGTATCATGAATTGTTTGAAGAAAATCTGGAATCAGTTTTTTAAAATTATATTAAGGAGCACTATAGTGTTAGGAATACAAAAATATATTCCTTACACTATAGTGCTAAAGTACGAATACATATTTCGGTGACCGCCCCCCTCGCCCCTCAGAATGAAGAACCTCTTCTCTATTTCCGTGCTGGTCTTACAGCGATTGGCCCCGCCTCCATGGCTGAGATTATCAATCTTTATAATCTCAGCCAATCCAAAGCTTTTTCTATAGAAAAACATTGGGAGGCTATTGTGCATGTGCGCCCTGCTGCGCCATTCAACATCACCCCATAGAGATGCATTTATTCAATGCATTTCTATGGGCAGTGTCGAGCATCTCCATGCAAAGCAATAAGATGTTAAACACAGTTGCTGCACACAATGCAGGACTGAAATAGGAAGCACCTCTAATGGTCGTCTGAGTCACTGCACCTAGAAGTGTTACC